AGCAATGGCCGACACAGCAGACCTCATCGTACTGGGAGCTTATTATGGAACTGGGAGCAAAGGTAGGCGGGGCTAATTGGGCATATTAACCACACCCCTTTTAGGCGGACTGATGTCTGTGTTTTTAATGGGCGTGTACGATAAGACAAACGATAGGTTCTGTACTGTTTGTAAGTGTGGTAACGGCCATGATGACGCTACCATAATGAAGCTTCAAGACGAATTGGACATGACGAAGATCAGCAAAGATTACAGTAAAGTACCGTCATGGCTACACATTAATAAAGGATTGACGCCTGATCTTGTCGTATCAGATCCAAAAGTAAAGTTAGCACTTTTATTTTTTAATTTTAATTATTTTCTAGTCGGCTCCTGTATGGGAAATCACAGGTGCTGAGTTTTCACAGTCGACCAACCACACAGCTGGGGGCGTGTCTATACGGTTTCCAAGGGTAACACGTATCCGTGACGACAAGGACTGGAACACGGCTACAGACCTTCAACGTTTGAAAGTATAATTACATGTGCATGTACATTCTAGTTATTTTTGTACATCTGTATAGACATTATATGAAAAATCCAAAGAAAATCTTGGTAATTATTATAACATTATGATAATTAATATTAACCACACCCATTTCTTGTGCTAGATATAACTCTTCCTTTGGCTAGCACGTCAAAAGACTCCTCCCAAGACGACGAAGAGGAAATGGAGGTGAACGAAGATAAGAAGAGAAAAAGAGTGCCTGAGAAGGCTACACCAGTGAAGAAGAGAAAGATAGGGGGTAGCATAACTCTTCCATCGGTTAGCACCTCAAAAGACTCCGCCCAAAGCGATGAAGAGGAAATGGAGGTGAGCAAAGATAAGAAGAGAAAAAGAGTGCCTGAGAAGGCTACACCAGTTAAGAAGAGGAAGACAGAGTCAGAGAGAGAGGTTTGTAAGTACGGAGTGAAGTGCTACCAAACTAACGAAGAGCATAGAAAGAGGTTTTCACATCCCTGGGTGAGATATGAGGTGGAGGAGAGGCTTTTATTTACAAGTATTCTTCATTTGTAGGAAACAGCATTAGGCGTATACTGTGCTGGTACTAAGATTGTTAAGGTACGAATCCATTTTCATTATTTGTTATGAATTTTTAAAGGTGCTCCAAAATTGGACCAAAGTCCCTGTACTATAGTGCATGGTCTTGGGCCAAATTTTGCCAAAATTGAAAAGGAAAGAATTCTCCATTTTTATTACATTTTCCAATACATATATATGGAACTAATGGGTTTTGCTTGTCACGGATTTCATGACAATGGAACTAATGGGTTTTTGCTGAAAAGAGAATTCTCTATTTTTATTACATTTTCCATTGATTGTTCATTGGCTCATTATTACAACCTCTTTTCCTCAGCCTCTACCTGATATATTTGACGGCGTCAAGGCACTCATAGACCCTTCCTTATCTGAAGCAAAAGATATAAAGAGATACATTACAGATATAGAGAGATACATTATAGCGTACGTAATAAATTGAAACAATAATAATAATAATAAATATTTTATTTATTCACTTTTAGTTATAATGGTGATGTAGTAAGTGATATTGATATTAGTGAAGTGACTCATGTATTTACAAAGAATAAAAAATTTGCAACCGTAAGTACAAGATAAATCATCCTGATTGTAATTTTTATTTTCTTTTAGGATCAGGGGGTCCCTGATGGTGTTGCAATATTAAGCCCAGACTGGGTCTGGGACAGTCTGGGAGATGCACGTCTCCATGAGATTGCAAATTACGAATTATAGAAAGTCTATTTTTAAAAATATAAACCTGGTATTATGAAATAAATTTTCTTTAGAGCCACCCCTATAATTTATATCCCTTAATTCATTCAAATTTATTACATAGTAGTTTCAAATTTATTACATATAGTTTCAAATTTTTTAAACTTAAAGAACATTATTATTATTATTATTATTGTTTATTTATTAATAATTATTATTATATTGAGTTTAGTAAAAAGAATATTGTTTTTAAAGTTCTTATGATGAATCCTTGTCTGTCTCGTTTCTAAGTGTCAACTTGGCCATTTTTATAGTCCCTTCTCTCAACAATTTATCAGTATCTCCTTTGTCCATTACTTGAACTTGTTTCCTAACGTACTCTACCAGTTGGGAGAGTCCCTCAGGATCAGTCTCGGACTTTTTAGAAATCCAGTTACGCCAGAAGGCGCTTGCCAGTGTCATGTCATTTGAGAGGAGTCCTTCCTCGTAGGCTATGATGAGTCCGCGGAACTGAAGGTTCAGCTCGTGAAGGTTCTCCTGGATTAACTTACCTGACTTCACCTAGTACACAATTCAAAATAATTATTATTGCAAAATAATTGTAGAGTTGTTCACACATTTAGGTGCTAACAAGGTGTTAAAAAACAAATTTACAAGCAGCAGTCAGAGAAGAATTCTAAAGCCCACCATCCACTATTCAAATTTTTTGAAAGCAACTTTGTGGTTACTTTGATGTGCTGTCAACTCTGTTGCCTGAAATAGAACTCAGTTCTATTTTAGGCAACAGAGTTGCCCTAAGATCAAAGTAACCACAAAGTTGCTTTCAACAAAGTTGAATAGTAGATGGTGGGCTTAAAATTATAAACAAATGCTTAAAAATATTCTATTATAAAGAATAATCTTTTCCCAATGCAAACTCACTCCTAAAGCTCTCATCCTTTCTTCTGTGTCAGTCCAGAATATATTGACCAGCTGGTGAGTGATGAACCTCCCGTCCTCTCCCTCTCTCTTTAGACGGACCAGAAAGAGCCAAATATGCAAGTGAGCGATGAGGAACCAGGATCCAAAGGTGTCGGGTAGTGGAACAGCTGCAGGAAAGAGGAGTAACATAGAATTACATAAAAACTTTAAAAGAGGTAGAAGGATATTTTGAATTTTACTTTTTATAAAGCTCTCATAGTCAATCTCATTGATGCATCTGCTGTATAAGAAAACAGCACTTCTCTTTAAAACCTAACAATCAAAGTACTAAAAACTTTACAATTTCTGTACGGTTACCTCTTTCCTGGAGAAAAACCCAGTTAGCCAACCTATTCTTGTTAAAATCCTTTCTCCAAGGCTATTTGGGTCTCTGAGTCCTTCAGATGATGCCTAAATAATAAGATAAAGCTGCTTTTAAGGAACCCCTCGAATCTTACAGAGGAGTAAGAGGAAGAGAAAGGGCGATTATACAAGCAGGTTCGTTTCATTGAAGAGTGGTAATAAAACTTTTGATGTAGAAGGCATTGTGCTGGGTTTAGATAAGACTGAAATCTCTGGAAACAGCGAGGAGAGATAGAGAATAAGAGAAGTAAGCGAGAGCTACTAGCAGCCATGTTGTCTCACGTTGCATAACAAACCAGCCCCACCCATTTATAGATGTCACACCCATTTTAATTACAAACAACAGCTGTACATGTTTCTCACCTGATTTCTGAGCAACTTTAAAAATTTGTAAAAAAATCCAATTTTGATTGGGATCAGCTCAAACTTTCTACACCACATAAGTACATGATTTTTTCCTTTTTAATTTTGACAAAAATTTTTTTGAGACCATCTACCATCCCTTTGGGAAAAACATGCATGTACAACAATCCACGTGACAATACTTTTCAGTTTTCAGAACATGTTTCAGCACGTACATAAAACAGTACCTTAAAACATGTCATGTTTGTAGCAACATACATGAACAGTACTTGCATATTACATGAAACATGAATGTCAGTGCATAGAAATGCATGTAACAGAAAATATAATTAAACAATCAGCTATAGCTGCAATTCAACTTGGCAAAATTCATTTTCATTAACAAAAGACAAAACTATGATACAAAGGAATGGTGAGACTTAAGTCAAAACAGCTGGCAATAAATAAAAACAATTAGCCTAATAATAATCAAATTAGCTGAACTATAGTAGCATGTAGGAAAAGGAGAGTTTGTTTAGTTTACTATAAATACCAAGTATAGAAGAGGAGGGTAAATGTAGCAGCAGCTGTAAGAAGTACTCCCTCTTCAAACAACAGGATAACAGGCAGAGGTACATATACCACAAAGATTTTTCTTTGAGGCGATTTTAAAGTATCCCTCCATGCCCCAGTTCTTGCCCCAGCTGTTCTTCACAAGCCAGTATTCCTCGCCATCTTCTTTACCATATCCAACCACAAGGACTCCGTGATCCAGCTTCCTTGAAGAGCATATCTTTGGATCGTATATGCCGCTCTTGTACAGCTGGAAGCTACTATGGCTTGCGTCCATTGCAACCGAAATCGGACCAATTTCAGCAACAGCTTTTTTGAGTGCCTCACAATCGGTAGTGAGAATGGAGACATGGCGTTCCACAGTGGCACCAATATCGTCCTTTTTAAATTCACAGCGACCATTCTTTGCCTTGTACGGATAGCTCTCCTCGGTATCAATTCCTTTGTTCTCCTCAATGTATTTAAAAGCAGTTGTCATCAGTCCACCCTGACAACCGTGATCCTTTTTGTCGCAATCAACGAGGTTTTGTTCCGAGAGCGATACCAGCTTTCCAGTTTTCTTTGCATGAGCGCCTTCAAGAGAACCTGTTGTTGAAAAAGCCCAGCACGACCCGCACTGCTTTTGATTCTTAACCGGAGTCACTAGACCCTTTGTCCTCCAGTCAACGCTGTCCGGTATTGCCCCACCGGTATAACGGTATATGGTTGTGTTTTCATGGTTTTCCCTATTCCTCCCTTTGCCGTAGCCATTGTATATAGAGGAGAATTCTTCTGCTGTCAGATCAGCGAATTCGTTCACTTCAAGTTGGAACGAGCTGTCCATTGAGTTGTGCTCGTTCACGTAGTCCCTGTTCTGGAGCCATATCTTCTGGCGCATGTTGTCCTCGTAGATTGAGCGGTAGGTCTTTCCGTATTTGCCTTTCCAGAGCCGCCATTCTTCAGCATCATTTACAGCAGCTGAGACAAGACCAATTAGAAGGAGAACGGCTACAAAACGAAGGGAGAGAGTGGGTTCCATAGTAATGGCCGAGTAATGGCTGATAAAGCAAGGTCAAGTTGACAATTGCATAACTTGCAATAACCAGCAGCCACACCTTCTTGGGTGGGGCTGGTCTTAACACCCACGCAAACGAGCTCCACCCTGTTGAAAAAAATGGTGGTAAGATCTGCCACAACAAAAGTCTACAACTGGTGCTATGACCGTGTTTACTATCCATGCTGGGACACAACTGGTAATGCTTTCCCGCCTATAAGGATATTCTTCCTCGCTGGTGCCGTCTTTTTCTACCTAGCAGACGTCGCAATAGATATATATGCCGCCATTGAACACTACATTGCCTGGAAGGGAGGGAGTGACACTGCCAGAGACTACTTTATAGCGACGGTGGTCTTCATTATAGTCCCCAGTTTACTCATTAATGCCACATCACTATTTCTCTACGTGTGGGCTCAATGCATGAACAAGAGAAGGGCCAAAGAAGGCTATCAGCTTTACGTAGCAAAAAGTGATATTCCATTTCACTATATTGTGTCAAAGAAGGATTCATCATGGCTCTTTAAAGCTGAGTCTAAACTAATTGATTGTTTTAGAATGTCAAAATGCTTTCAGTGGTGTAGGAGTAAGAGGAGTACAGCTGCAGAGTCTGGTATAGTTCTACAAAGAATAGCAACAGGAAGTAGTGGCGATGATGATTTGGGTAATGTGGGTCAAAACTCTCCACTTGAAACTGAAAGAGAAGAAACAAGATTTGATTTGGAGGCCGGGCAAGATGAGGTAGATGTTGGCAATAATGATGAAAGTGATTCTAGTAATAGAGAAAGCCCAGCACCACTTCTTGATGAAGAAGAAAGAGGAAAAGGAGGTCTGAGAACTGAGGCACATCCTGCTTCTAGTCTTGAAGAGGATGATTCCTACAAACCTCTCGATAAGTTCTCACATTCACAATTTGCATTCATTGTCATTCTTCATCTCCTCCAGGTGGGTTTTTTATTCAGGGTCCTGCGGCTCCTTTACCTTAACTGTCGTAGAAGAGACAAGCTTTCGTTTGATCGCTACAAGGATATATCTTTCTTGAGGTTGATGGAAGGATTTTTTGAATCAGCACCCCAGCTGCTGCTCCAGTTGTACGTGGTTACATTGGAGGAGATACCTGACATTGAAAGGAAGGTTATTACTGGAATGGCTGTCGTTATTTCGATGGGTTCTCTTGCCTTAGCAATTGGTGACTACATATCAGCCGAGAAAGACATAGATCATTATAATCCTCACGGGAAAAAGATGACTAGGCTATCATGGGGCGCTTATTTCTTGATCATTGTTGCTCATCTCTTTCTTATTGTATCACGGGGGATAGCAATATCATTGTTTGCAACAGAGTTTTATCTGAACGTGTTTATTATTGGCGCCGCCCATTACCTCCTTATGGTGTATTGGATGTTCAAGCAAAACAAAGTTCAAATTGTTGGTAGTAATAATTATAATGATAGTCAAACAGTGAATGGACGCACCACCTGCTGTGGGAGATATTGTTTTGAATTGCTAGCCGCCATTTTTAATGTATTCTTTCCCTTTCGTCTCCAAAAAGACAGTTTCTCATTCATCGTCTCTTACTACATTGTCTTCTTCTTTGAAAACCTTATCCTCATTCTACTCTGGGTCATCAGTGTAGACTATACTCAAAACCTTTGGTACTTGGAAGCGGCTCCGATCACAGTCGTACTGGGTTTCCTGCTCGGCATAGCCCTATTGTTATGCTACCATTTTAAATGTGAGCCTAAAGTTGAAGAGAGCACAGATACTGATGAGGAGTCCCCTGATTTTTGTTACTCTGTATCTTTGGATGAGAGTATAATGGTGACCAGCACTTTGAACAGATTGTATTTTGTCACTAATAGGAGCATCAAAAATGACTGATAAAAATAATTTTTTTAATCTCTTATTACGCAAGTAAAGACCACAGGTACATGTACATGCAACAGACAAACAAACAATATATAATAATAGTTATTGTCAAGCTATAATGTTTGTTCATTGTACTATTTTTATTTTAATTTAAACTTTAAAGAGCAGCTGCATAGTTTAGTTCCTTCACCGCCCACTACAATACATGTAAATGTGTTAATGTGCTGGATATGTGTTTATGGATTTTTGTTATTCTCATCCTTTTTCTCTTCCATGGCTTCTTTGACCAGTTGAGGCAGCTGGTGTGGCTTGGGATGCTTTGAGAGTATCTGACGGATCTCTTCGCATTTTTTATCCAGCTGGAGCGAGTTTGATTTCACTGATAAATCCTTCATAATCCGCTCAAGAGTTCTCTGCAATGTGCCCAAAGTTTGTCTATTATTATAATAATTTAAAAGCACTGCACAACAAAGTTTTTTAAATTTCCTTACTTTGATACGTGTAGCTTCTCTGCAAGTTTTTTCTGTGACGTAGTTATTTCTGATATTTCTTCTACAAGATTATATTGAGGTTGATCCCGGCAGAGCTCAACATTTTGTCTATACGTCCTATTCTCTAGTCTTGTGTGTGCTACTTTCATCGGAGGGGTCTTCTCCATTAGTGATACAGTCAGTGACTCAATCTCTTGCTTGACTTGAGCAATCTCTGCTTCAGTCTAAAAAAAATAATAATAATAATTTTTAAAGTACATGAGCTCTTTACATTTTTCTTTTGCCATTCAAGTTCTTGATATGCTTGTTTTATTTCGTGTATTCGCCTCCTCAGAGCATAATTTGTGGCAGTCCATTGGCTTTCAAGATCATTAGTAGTCTACATAAATTAATCAAATAAATGCATGTACATCACATGTACATCACATGTACATCACATGCATGTACATGTACATAAAGGATTACACACCTGCTGTATGGTTTGACTAATGCTTTCTCTAAGTCTAACTGATTGAGCAATCTCTCTATTCGCCTCATCAGTGTTGTGGACTGAATATGACTCCCATTGAACAGGATTAACAATACTACAGTAATACAATGATGATTATACAATAGCTTGCATGTACATGTAACAGTATAATCATTGTGTGTTGTTCAAAAGGAAAGGTTAAATTCAATGGTAATGGCTGTATCTCACCCTTTTTTAATTCTGGTTGGATCAGTTTGTATGTTAATACCACTGGAGCTATTTCCCAGTCCCACACAGTCAGTATCAATGCTAAGGGCTTGGGTCTTATCTGAGATATCAAACTGGAGCTTCTCATAACACTCTTGCAACTGACTACAATGCAGTGACACACGCATGGATACTAATGCTGCAATTTTTAAATGTTAACTTACCAAAGCTGTTTAAATGCATCGCCAATCCTTTGATGCAGAATTGCTTGAACACCTTCAATAACTGACACTTCCTATCAGTGATTTTCAGCATGAATTCATTGCTATACCTCTCTCTTTCTCTCACCTTGTTTAGCTCTGCTTCCACCTCATCTCTAACTAAGTCAATGGCTACTCTGTTCTCTCGTGTTACTAAACACTCTAGCACTACATGAAGTGGCATCTCTTTAGCCATCAGAGCATACTCTGCAAGTCTCTTTGACTCAGAGAGCTTAGTAATGGCACTGTCTGTCTCTGAGAGAGTGTGCTGGAGGGATGACTTCCAGTCAGTAACATCACTGATTCTCTGATGGAGTGAAGTATCATTACTATGCTGAGTCCATTTTGTAGTTATACCTGCGAGATTGAGTAAGATACTAATGCTATGTACATATAATCGTACTTGTTTCGTTTCTAGTTTGGTTGCTCTCTTGTCTTATCCTATGTGAAGCTAGTCTCTGTCTCTCAGCACTGGACTGTATCACTTCATTAGAAATGGTCCAGTCTGAAGGAGCATATTTAGTTGGGCTGGTTTCATATGCTGTGGCCATTGGCTGGTCTATGTTTATGCCCAGTGTGAAAATCTCCAAGAAATCACGGTTGTGTCTTCGTTTCTATAGCAACGTTACTTGAAATGGTTACCAAGACAACAATCAAAATCCGCCATGTTTGACGTGACTATGGCAACAGGCGCCATCTTTTCGCGGGCAGACCACGTGAGTAGATTAAAATGGCGTCCGACGAGGAACACGAAGAAGATGATGAACAGGTCCTTATCTTAGAGCCAGAGGATGAACAGCTCCAGCTGAGGGACCTGGAGAGAATATTGTCTATTCCTTTAGATATTTTAACTGCTTTGGAGGTCTCGGAGGAGTTTGGGATTGTCCCTGGACTGATTTTGAATTATGTCCAATCCAAGGAAGAAGAAATGAGGAAAGTGGAGGAGATTATACAAGAATATAATGACGTACTTCAAGATAAAGGTGGCTAAAAAATAAATAATAAAATAATCTGACATCTCTCTTTTTAGATGTGAAAATAGAGGACTTGGAACGAGAATTGGGCGTTGTAGTACTTGCAAGAACAGAAATTGAGGACCGTTGTAAGATAAAAAATAACTAGCGATCTACTCTCTACTTTCCTCTCTCTTCTTTTGTTTGTACTCATTCATAAGACTCAAACCTACAGTCCGAGTTAGACGGGTACAAAGAGAACGCCCAGTCGTTAATGGCCGCACAGGAAGAAGCTGAGTCGCTCAAAGCCTCCATTGAAGAGTACCAGACGACACTACGGGAGCTTCAAGATGAGATCGAGTCTTTGCAGAATCAGTCGAACGATCTTCAGACGACTAACAGCAATTTAAAGGAGGAACTGGAAAAGGCTAACACTACAATTGAGGTAATGTACATGTAGAACTACTCCTTTTATAAAGATTAATGAAGCTCATTTTATTGTACTTCTTCTTGTCTTTCTTTCTCTTCTTTTAGGATCTAAAACCACCTCCTGATGTCCCTGGTGCTGATCGTGACCAGCTGCTACGGCTGCTAGATAGGAGACAGAAAGAGTTGAGCCAGCTCGCCAACAGCTGGAGTGGCCTGTCCGAGAGACTCGAGATTACATCATCAGAGAAACAGGCTATACAGGTTTGAATGCATCCACATATTATTAGGTTTTAGTACATTTAATTTGGTTTGCCCATGCATTTATATGTACATGTACATGTACATGTATGTTAATTTGACTCAATTTTGATTTGTATGTGTGATATTAGTAATAATTACAATACTAGTCATTTTTTCTCTCTTTTTTTTAGTTAAAATTGGATGAGTTAGTGTCGCAGGAGTCCTCTGTACAATTGAAAGAACAGCTGCTGTCAAGAGAGAAACTGATGATACAGCAACAGAATGACTGGCTCTCGAAAGAGCTTGAGATAAAGAGCAACCAAGTACTCGAGCTGAAGAAAGAAAGGTCGGCCATTTTGACTGAAAAAGAAATACTTGTCTCATCAAAAGACCAGGAGGTGTGTCATGTTGCATATAAACTACACCTGCTTTAATTGAGACACTCCCGCCACTTTTAAACGCAATTTTTTTTAAATTTTATTTTTAGCTGAATCATCTCCGTGCCTCCTTGTCCTCCAAGACGGAACTGGTCCAGGAGTTGCAGGGACGGCTTGACTCCGCCCACTCACGACTAATGGAAGTACGAGAGGAACAGGCAAACGTTGAGGATCAACTAAGAAAAGAACTGGCATCTCAAGTTAGCTATACATTTGTGCATGTAATTATAGCTTGAGTTACGATCATTTTAAAAAATTGCCCAAAATCTGAAAAATACCCAAGGCCCATGGCCCATGGTTATTTCCAAAAAATGGCTCCGAAATCACCCCCAATTTTTATTACATTTTCTCATACATATTGTTGTACTTATGCTGTGTAGCAAGTTTGAGCTGATTCCGACTTTAATTTTTTGAGTTACGATCATTTTAAAAAATGGGCCAAAAGCTGAAAAAATCCCTGTACTATAGCCCATGGTTTTTTCCGAAAAATGGTCAAAAAATCACACCCAATTTTTATTACATTTTCTGATACATGTTGATGTCCTTATGCTGTGTAGAAAGTTTGAGCTGATTCCAACTTCAATTTTTTGAGTTATGATCATTTTTAAAAATGGGTCAAAATCTGAAAAAATCCCTGTACTATACCTGTTTAAGACTGTTTTTAATTTTTATTCCTTTATGCCCTGTCCTCTCTTTCTTTCTCTGTCTTTCTCTTATAGTCTAAGTTAGCCACACTTTATCAAACTGCTTCTAATGATGGAGAGAAGCTGGTCCTTGAATTGATGAGCAAACTGGAGTCATTGCAGTTATCACTAGACGAACTTTCGACCAGCAAAGAGACAGCATTAAGAACAGTGGGAGAACTGAAGGAAAGGTAATGGGAAAAATAGTAAAAAAAATTTTAAGTTCATAATATTTCACTCACATGTAATTTCCATTCTCGTTTTTCCAATCCCAGACTATCAGTACAGGAATCAGAGTCCTCATCTCGTATCCAAGCACTCGAGGAGGAGCTTAAGAATGCCAATGAGTTACTAAGCACTGCTAGACGACAAGGGACCCTCCCCCTCACTGAGGGAGAAGTACTCTCCCTCTCTCCAGCTGCTACTGCAACTAGCTCACTGCTCACATCCGGTCAGTACTCATTGCTTTTATTTATTTATTTATGTATTTATATATTGCATATACACGTATTTATTTTTTATCATTATTATTATTATTATTATTATTATTATTATTATTATTATTATTATTATTATTGACAACAACAACAATAACAACAACAATAGCAGCAACAATATATTTATTTATTTATTTATTTTAGGGTTGACCCTGACCCAGATATACACGCAGTACGTTCAGTCAACGGATGAGCTCCGGCTGGTCAAAGATGAGAACACTCGCCTCAACAATTACCTGACACAGATAATGGAGGAGCTGGACGAGAAGACACCTGCTCTTCAGAAACTAAGGCGGGACCACGACTCACTTTTGAAAAGGTTAGAGGAGAAGGAAAAGGTTTTAAAATGTGCGTACATGTACAGTTAAGTTTACTATTTTTTAGACCTCTATAATCAGGGCAGGTAGTATCAGTCCTAATACATGTACAATAGTAATGTGTATTAATGAACCTCTGAAATAAGGACAGGTTCATAATCAGGAGGGCCGGTATTATTGGGTCCCAGGTGTCAGATTAAATCTTTTATTTCAAATTTAATTTTTAAAATTTATGTACGTACATGTACATGTAACCACGCCCATAACTATACCACACCCTCTAGGTGTGAAGAACAGCAAGAACAGATAAAAGGTCTCGTTGACGAGTTTGACAATGTTCGATTAGAATCTGAGGAGTCTATAAAGTTCTCTCGCTCTCTTGAGCGCGAGAACAAACGTCTCAAAACCCTCTCCTCTGATCTCGGACGACAGGTCAAGGTCTTGTTGAAGGAGGTGGAGGAAGCTCGTGGGGGCGTGGCTTCAACATCACATGACTGGTCACAAGACCTGAGCAGTGATGATGTCACCAGTTCTTCACAGGTAGAGCAACTTTAAAAATGTGTAAAAAATCTAATTTTTATCGGAATCAGCTCAAACTTGCTACACAGCATAAGAACATGTACATGTATGTGTATCAGAAAAAATTATAAAAATGAAGAATTCTTTCCTAGTCATTTTTGGTGAAATTTGGCCAAATACCCTGTACTATAGTACAGGGACTTTGGCCCGATTTTGGAGAAACTTTAAAAATTCATAAAAAATCTAATTTTGATCAAAATGAGCTCAAACTTGATACACAGCATAAGAACATGTATATGTATCAGGAAAAAAAATTAAAATAGAGAATTCTCTTTTTACCATTTTTGACAAAATACCCTGTACTATTATGCGTTATTGTAATGTATTGTATTGTATTGTTAGGTGATAAGTGACCACTTGGTATTGTTTCGTAACGTCGAAGAACTTCAAGAACAAAATCAGAAACTGCTTGCCGTCGTGAGAGAACTAGGAGAAACGAGAGAGAAGGAAGAGAACATCATAGAGACACAGGCCACCTCTGAAATGAAACAACGACTAGAGGAAGCAGTCAGGTGACCATCACATGACGTACTAGCCTATACATGTACATCTAAGACCCTTTCTGTTGCATGCAGTATAAATCCATGTTATAATGGAGGTTTATAATTATGTATCAATAATAATAAAGTTTGTACATCAATCTATGTACATATGTATTGTATACTGTACTTGTAGGGAGTTGAATGTGCTGAAGGAATCGCGAGAGAGACAGAAAGAGATGGTAGAGTCCATAGTGAAGCAAAGGGACATGTATAGGATACTGTTGGCACAGAGTACACCATTACCTGATGATCAGACTGATACTAGCCAGGTGAGTGAGAGGGGGAGAGAGAGAGAGAGAGAGAGGAAGAAAAGAATTTTGAATCATTATGAGAGGGTGAATTTGCCATTTATATTTATCATTTTTTTCCAGTTAAGTACAAGTCAGGATTCTGCCAGTATATTTGCTTCTCCTCAAAAGTCCACGGCTGCGACTAACGCTGCTTTGCAAGAGCTTAAGGAACAGTTTGAAGCTTACAGGTTCAAACCTTCTACATATCTCATTGTATTATGTACACTTGTACTTGTATCTTATAGAAAAGAGAAATCTGCTAATGACTCCATACTACAGGAACAGATATCACAATATAGGGATGAAGCTGCTAAAGCTACGCTGGACAAAGCAACTTTAGCATCGAAAGTATGTAGAGGTCAAAGGTCAAACCGCCCACTCTTATAATTAGAATTATTATTTATTTTTATATTTTTTTTCATAGTTGGAATATTCGACTGAGAGGTATCACATGTTAGAATCTTCTTACAAAGAGTTGAAAGGAGAGCTATCGGCTTTAAGGAACAAAGAGAAACTACTCAATAACTCATTGAACAAAAGCCACGTGAGTATTTACATGTACATGTGCAGTAGCTAAAAAATTTAAAGCATTAAGAGGTTTGGTAGTTAAAATTTTGGCAAAATTTTGACTGTGTATATCAGTGAAAAATTGCATTTTAAAAATACATTATTAATTATTAATGTATTTCCATAGGAAACTGTTGATAAACTAACGAAGGAGCTCCTCTCTTCTCACGAGAATCTCTCTCGTCTCGAGATACGCCAGCGAGCGCTCCAATCAGAGAGAGACCACCTCTTTGAGAGCGAGAAAAGATCCCGCAAGCAGTACGAGGAGCTCATGAAAGAGCAAAGCTCCCAGTCCCTCCTCCTAACTAACTTACAGACTCTACAGAATAACTTGGAGAGGAACGAATACGAGACAAAGTCCCGACTGGGATCTCAGATTGAGGCCCTCGAGAAAGAGGCGGGGCTTTTGAAAGAACGGCTTCACAACGAAGAGGAGAAGAGGGAGAGGATTAAAGACGCGTACGAGACTCAGGTGGGTGTGGTTTAGAGCAAAGTGGGTGTGGCTTAACATTAAAATTATATTATTAAGAATTTTGAATATGTGTCATGTGACTGTACGTCTAGGTTCAGGATTTATCGCAGAAATTATTAACCGTCCAATCTCAAGAAAGTGAGCACCTTCAGACGATATCTTCTCTCGAGGAGAGAGCGTCAAACGCCGAGTCATCACTCGCTGTGTCTAACGGTACACTGGACGAGGTCAGAGGTCAACTGGAGGAGGCGAAGGACAGACTGAGGGCGATGGAAGAGGACGCTGGAGCCGAGTTTAGGTCCAGTATAAGGATACTGGAGCGTAAAGTGACCGACGGAAACTCTAAGGTATTGTACTATTTGTACATTTATTTGTACATGTATATTAATTGCATTTGTAAACTTACATGTAGTTCAGTTTGAATTTACATGTACATTACAATGTATAATCTGTACATGTTCTCTCTCTCTCTCTCTCTCTCTCTCTCTCTCTCTCTCTCTCTCTCTCTCTCTCTCTCTCTCTCTTTCTCTCCCTCCCCCCCTCTCTCTCTGTTCAGATTTCTAGTCTTGAGGAACAGTTAAAGTCAGTCCAATCTCATGCTGATCAGTACAAGTCCATCAGTGAAGCTAATGAGAAGGCTCTCGTTGAACTAAATGCAACCTCAGAAATATTTAAAAATAATATGAGCCAACAAGTGGAGGCACTGAAAGTAAATACATGCATGTGTGTATTTTTTAATATTGTATAGCAGCTGGAATGTAATCATGCCATTTATTATTATTATTATTATTATTATTATTATTATTATTATTATTATTATTATTAGTTTCTGTCTTCTTTTCATTGCAGGAGAAAGAGGAGGTCTTAAAGACGGAGTTGGAGTCCACTAAAGAAGAGAAGGAGAAGATTGAGAGTGACCTGAAGGCAGAACTGAAAGAAAATGAAACGGAGGTAATGCTGGAGTTTCATGCAGTGGGTGCTTAGTAATCTGTACACGTACATGTACATACATGTTACAGTACATGTGCATGTACATCAATTGCCAATAACAACCTGCAAAATTTTATTTTATATGTACATGTACATATATTAGCCAGATAAATGTGATAAAGATAATATGGTATCATCACTCTACTGTCTCTCCCTTTCTATAGCTTCAGCTAGCTCAACAGAAAATAGCTGAAATGTCCAAGAGACTAGAAGAGGCTGAGAGATTAATGAGAGAAGCACAGAAAGACCAGCAAACAGCAAGAGAAGATGCTAAAAGGTAAAAGAGCTGGAAGGTAGCAGCCGATCCATACAAGAAGATAATAGATAAGAAATTAAGAATCAATATAATAGACTGAACATTGTAATTGTATAAACACATGGTCAATTGTCATAGCAACGCTCGATAGGTTTCCATGGTATTTAATTGAATATTTTTATTAGCTTAATCTTATCACTGGCGGCAAGAGTAGATAATAATAGAAGAGAGTGTCCTACTGTGCATATACCCCCTGCTTCATCACGTCGTAGAATTGAAGAGTCACATTCAGGATATTTTCAGTATTTTATTTGAGTAGTTATTATCAAGAGTAGATAATAGAAGAGAGTGTCCTACTGTGCATATACCCCCTGCTTCATCACATCGTAGAATTGAAGAGTCACATTCAGGATATTTTCAGTATTTTATTTGAGTAGTTATTATAATATTGCTAGTTATTTTTGAATAACTACTCAAAATTACTGAAAATATCCTGAATCTGACTCTTCAATTCTACGCCGTGATGAAGCAGGGGGTATATGCACAGTAGGACACTCTCCTCTAATTATTATCTACTCTTGCTGGCGGGAATAATTAGCAGCTGCGAATTATTACCCAATCAACTCAAGCAAGCCAACCTACCGTATTTGCTAATTTTGCTGTAGGTGCTTGGATTCTTCACGTGAACACGAAGAACTTTACCAAAGGGAGCTAGTCCAGCACGGTCACACAATGGAGTCCTTGAACCTGTTGAAGGAGAAGGAGGAAGAGAGGGAGAGAGAGCTCAACTTGTCCAAGGAAGAAAATGTTAGACTTAAAGAAGAAATGGAAACCTTAGTGGTGAGCATAATCGTGATAGTAAAAATATGCAATTATTCATTCTTTCTTTCTTTCTTACTAGTCTACCCATAGGGAATTGGAGTCCATGTTAATCGAAGAAAAGAGACAAGCTGACGAACGCTCTCAACATCTCTCATCACAGAACGATCTCCTTCACTCTGAGGCTGAAACACTCTCGGCTAAACTCATCACACTCACGCAACAGATCAGTGAGGGGGCGGGGTCAATGGGTGTGGTCCCAGCAACAGTTCTTGAGCAAGATGGTGGAAGTAGCGAGTCTGGCCCTCCTCTGACGAGTTCGGAGAATTTATGGGAAGTCATAAGATACGTGAGGAGAGAGAAAGAGATATCGGAGACTAAGAGGGACTTAGCCGAGAGCCAAGTATCCAGTTTGAAACAGACTATTAATCAACTGACACACCAGCTGGAACAAACCCGCCAACAACTACAGGAGCTTACTGATGCTACCACAGTAAGAGTAACGCACTATTGTACATATACATATGAGCTATTAGACCTTTGATCTCCCATATTTAGTTTACAGGTCTCCAAAATCTCTCATTTTCAGCTTTTTGTCTCTCATACATTTATTCAACCCCAGTGTTCCTAAGTCTTCCATTTTTAGATGGATTAATTGGTCTGCCAAAATTACATGTACTGTATTTCCAGATCTAACAATTGTACATGTACTTTTGTTTCTCTTTACAGGCTCACGAGAGCATATCAGTCGAGTATGAGAAGATCATGAAAGACCTTCAGACTCTCAATGCCCTCAGTGATAGTAACAAGCTCCTGAGAGATGAGAATAAGTCACTGGAAGAGAAGGTATATATGTCAGTTAAATTGTTTATATGTAAAATCACATGTGCATTGTTAATGTCTGCTTTCATTTCCCGTACAATGCAGGTTTCTTCTCTCAAAGCCAGCAATCAGGATTTACTTGTTAAGATCCAGTCTCTTAAAGACTCACAGCAATCTCTATCGTCACAGAAAGATGCTCTCCTCGTTGAGAAGGTTGCCCTAAAGAAAGAAGTGGAGCGCTGGAACCAAAGGACCAATCAGCTCATAGAACAGTATAATAAGATAGACCCTGAGGAGTATAGGCAATTAGTGTGAGTGGGTGGGGTTACTTGGGAGGAATTTTTGCAGAAACAACTTTACAGATTTGCAACTTTAAAATTTAAGCATTTTATTTCATTTACGTAGTCAAGAGAAAGATGAAAGAGATGCCGAATTGTCTCAAGTGAAATCCGAGAATGAGTCGCTCACGAGAGAAAAGCTTGTACTGGAGGAAAGTCTGAGTCAGCTGAGCGCCCAGTTTGAGGCTCTGAAGAAGAAAGAGGAGGAGCAAGAGATGGAGCTTATTAAACTACAATCTGAGACAAAAGCACAGAAGGAGGAACTGGGAGAGAAGAGCAGAATAATACTAAAAGTACAACTGATCCTCTAATTCTCTCTCTTGTTTTATATTTTGTTAGCTTAAAGAACTCGGTCGTAAGTTTCGCACAGTTTCAGAAGACTTTAAGAAGAAGTTTGAAGAGAGCGAAGCTAAAAGAACAGAACTGGAGTCTCAAATTGAGGAACTTCAGCGCTCGCTTCCGGAATCAACCGAGCAGCAATCAGCCATTAACGACCTTCAAACACAACTCGACAAAACAAAGGAGGTAAAAATTAAATCAGTACAATGTACACATGTACTTGTGTACATGTACATGGCACATAGTGTGCATGGGGTTGCCCTTTATTAATTTATTTATTTGTTTGCTTGTTTGTTTGTTTTTTTGTTTGTTTAAGGAGTTAGAGGCCAGTAAAACAGCCCATGAAACCTTAACTGCCTCCATAGTAGAGAAAGACGACAGAATATCTCGTATCATAAAGACAGCAAGAACCCTCAAACTATCCAAGGAACAGATGAAAAATGAGAAGGATAATATTGAGAAGGAGCTTGAGGAAGCAAAAGGTACATGTATATACTCTCTCTTTTTTAGATTTATTCTATAACTTTTTGCCTTTGAAGCACTTCATAGTGAGAACCGTACTGCATTAGAAGAAGCAAATGGTAAGATACACATGTATATAATAACAATTAAGTTACATGTATTCAGATATAATCAACATTAGTAATGTATTTTCAGTATAATTATAATTATTTATTTCATTCCAGCTGCACTCCAGTCTCAGCTGGCCTCTCTCCAGTCGCAGTATGATGCTGATACTAAGAGGCTTGAGGAGAGAATTGAAAAACTAGAAGGAGATTTGAGGACTAAGACTGTCACCAGAAGACGAGCTGTACAACCGACTGTCGTAGTACCAGTGGAGTCACCGAGTACTACTGTAACTGCACAAGCAGGTAAGGAGAGAGAAAGAATTGTAATTATAATATTGAGAGGATTTTTGAGGAGCTAAATTTTGTTGAAATGCTATAATACATGCATGTAGTACAGTTTTTATACTTAGGCCAATAGTTGGTTTTCTTTCAAAATGTTTAAACCAAATTTCCCACATTTTATCCTACTTCAGTATTATCCTTTATCTGTTTTATTTTCTCAGCTCCTACTGCAGCTATAAGGCCGACAGTCACAACCACACCCACCGCCAGTATCAGACCAATGCCTCTACAGATGACGACTGCCCCTACTGCTCATGTGACTCCAACTCAAGTCACGACGACCATACCAATAACGTCTGAGGCCACACCTACCCCATCATCATCATCATCATCATCAAGTGGTAGTACTGTAGGATCGGCAGCTGTCTTCATGCGTTCAACCTCTCCTCTGCTTGTAACTCAGACCACACCCCCTCAGGTCACACCTACTAGCAGTGTGAGTGAGGGGGCGGGGCCTTCTGTTGGTACTCGACCTCTTGAAAGACCTGTGAAGAGAACAAGGGAAGCTACAACTGAAAGGTAGAGATTTATTTTTTAAATATTTTGTAATAATAATTATTAATTACAGTTCAGCTGCTGAACAACAGCCTCCTCCTGTCAAGCGCTCAAGGCAACAGATTGTGGAGGCGGAGCCATCAACGACCACGTCCACCGATCCTCTTGCCCCGCCCACTGACACGCCCACAGAATCCGATCGATCCCCTGATACACAAAGTGATCAAGACGTGGTTCAACCTGATGACGAGACCACGCCCCTCGTTAGTATGGTAACGGAACCAACTGCTAACGTCAGTAGTGGTAAGTAATCTTTGAACTATTAATATTTATATTTTATTAATTTTATATTAATTTTTTTAATAATTATATTTTAATCTTTTTTTTTCTAGCTGATGTTGCTGTGGTAACCGATGTTTCCAGGCGGGCGGAGTCAGAAGGACCCACGTCTAGTGTCGTGGCCGATACAACGTCCGGTACAGATCAACTGGTTGGCGGTGAACAGCAACAGGATACCGTTAGTGGTGAGCCTCAGGGAGAAGACGAAGATGAAGAGGGAGGGGCGGAGCCGACAGTTGCTATGGATACCGAACCGACAACTTTTGAGGCGACGGAAGAAGAAGGGGGCGGAGACTCGGCAGCTGTTATTGAAATAATGGACGAGGAAGAGGAGGGGGAGAGAGGAAGGAATGATGAAATCATTGAGATTGAAGACGATGATGGTAAGAAATAAAAATTGCTTTAAACTTGTGTGTGCTGCATTTAATTTATAGCGAGCGATCTTTCAAAAATGGCGCATAAATTTTAATGTAACTAAAATATTTTTTTAATTATTAGAAGACACGCTGGAGCCTACCCCAGGTGTAGCAGGTGGTGAGGTTACGGCAAGTAGCAGCGAAATGACGGACGAGAGAGGAGAGGGAGAGGAAGGAGAAGTAGAAGAAGGAGAGATAGAGGAGCAAGAGGAAGAAGAGGAGGAGGGAGGGGACGGTAACGAGGAGCAGTTTGAGGTACAGCAGGAAGAGATAGAGGAAGAGGAGGAGGAGGAGGAGGTAGAGCCTTCAGTTGAGCTGGTGATACAAATTGAAGATGAGGAACAGAATATTGGACTCCCAGAGAATGAAGTGAATTAACTAGCTTTACTTTTGTACATAAAATATTATGATCTTTTGGTAATTGAGTTCAAATATACATGTACATGTATGTTTACTTTTTTGACTATTTTACTTTTTTTTGTCAAGCAATTTTGTTCATTTTAAAGCTTTTTTTTTACTCATTCTAGGATGTTATTGAGATCACTGCTCCCTCTAGTTCAGCAGGAGTTCAGGTTTTATCTCAGACTGTTCCAGCTGTTCAATCACTGTCTGTTCCCTCCGAGAGGAGACTGGCACTGAGAGAAAGGGCCAGCACTCCAGGAGTACGTACAACCACTGATGTACATGCACCTACTACCAGCTGTACATGTGTAGTAGTAAAGAACCCACTTTTTGGAACTTTAAAAATTCGTAAAAAATTGAATTTTGATTGGAATCAGCTCAAACTTTCTACACAGCATAAGTACATGTATATGCATCAGATAAAGTTATAAAAATGGAGAAATCTCACTTTTTCATTTTTGGTGAAATTTGGCCAAAATCCCTGTACTATAGTACAGGGACTTTGGCTCAAACTTTCTACACAACATGCATCAGATAACATTATAAAAATAGAAAATTCTCACCTTTTCATTTTTGGCGAAATTTGACCAAAATCCCTGTACTATAGTACATGGACATTGGCCTGATTTTTGAGTAGATTTTAAAATTTTTGATCAGAATCAGTATGTTCAGTACATGTACAAATGTATATTTATTCATTAATGTACATTGTACGATGTACATATACTTTATAGGGTAATGCTGAATTAAATGTGATGCTACCCAGTGGTGGGGATCATCAGGTTCCATGTACTCCAGTACTCGCTGAAGACAAGCAGCTGGGAAAAGCACCTGCTCTACAGTAAATGAACACCATTAGTACATGTACATGTACAGTATATAAATATTGATGCTCTAGGAGTGTTCCTGCCGATTTGACTGCCCCTACCAGCAGCAGCATTAGTGTATCGGTCCAGCAGCTGGAGGAGGAGAGAGAGGAAGGAGGACAAGAAGCAACTTCATCTCAAGGAGACAGTAAGATTGGTATTTCAACACATCTACACTTTTCTTGTATATGTATCTATTTTAGCACTTTCCTTTAGCTTTATTCGATTGTAATTTTAGCTTTTTCTTGTATCTATTTTTAGCTTTATTCGAAATGACACAGTTTGGCGAACTGAGTAGTACAACTGCTTCCGTTCCTGCTCCTCCTACTCACTCCACCCACTCCTCACATGACGACCAGTCACATGACCCGTCACCTCAAGAGTTAGAGGAGGAAGAGGAGGAGGAGGAGGGACAGCCCCTATCAGGTGATCTTGGCGATGATGTCATTGCGGAAATAATTGCGTCATCGTGCGACGAGGAAGAAGAAGAAGAAGGAGGTATGTGGGCATTTGAGATATTTTTACTAAAGCTACTTACAATTTTCTAAATCGAAATTATTTTTTTAGATATCGAAGAAGGTGAATTAGGAGAGCTTCAGACTATTGACTCCACCCATCAAGAGGAAGCCACACCCATGCTTCCCACCCGAACGGTTTCTGCTCCTGTGGCTCTTGCTGCTCAAGTCCCCCCGTCTTCAATTTCAGGAGGTGTTCCTGGCAGTATCCCAGCTGTGGGTACATCAAGCGCTGCTCCTGTTACTACTGGTAGTGGTCAGGATTCTGCAAGGAAAGAAGCAGACAGGAAGATACAACCAATAGTATGGGATGAGAGCCAGCCTAGCACTAGTAAGGGGCAGATTGGAGGGATTTATAGCAGCAGTACAGCATTTAAAGATTTTAAGTCATTAGGATTTCTGTTGCTAGCAAAAAATGTTAAAAGCATTACATACAGAGATGTGTATTTTTGTGTCCTTTTTATGACTTTTATACCAGCTGGTCACTGTCTTCCTTGCTTAGGTGGTCCGCCAAAACTAAGGCCTAAATTAGGTCCTCCAAAAAGCAGCCTGTCCACCAGAAGAGCTAAAGGTTGGCTAGTGATGTGTTTAGTAATGAGTTTATGTTTTTTGGGTTCTGTAGGTCGTGAAGGCAGAGGCGGCCGTGGTAGGAAGTTCTAAAACCATGAACAGTTTCATTTTTGATTAACTAAACCAACCAACACTACATAATAATTATGATAATCTCAATCATTAATGATAATTTTTGTGAATATTTAAACATCCATTTTTAGTATTATTAATTTGCGTGGGTGTTGCGTGTTGATTAAAGTATACGGAATATCTACCAGTAGTATACCTAGCTGATATACGGATAATAAATTATTACAATTACATAATTATAATTAAGCTTATATTAAAGCAAAAATGGTGTTTTATTTTTTATCTAAAGGTATGAATTTATTTATTATCATTTTGAAAATTACTTGTTCTCTCCTAACAACCAGTTGTGGATCCGCCTATGATAATTTACATGGGAATAGACAAACATGAAAGTATGTATAATAAATCTATTTTATATTTTATTATTTTTAGATGAAGAACTCTTAAAATGGGGTTTCCCTGAGGACGTATGGTAAGTACCTAAAGCATGCGCTGATTATTATTTTATTGTTGGAAGGTTTCACGTGGAAGACATGTCTTCGGCTCATGTTTATCTCCGCCCACCAATGGTATATTGTTGGGGCGTGGCTTATGTTACAGGCTCCTCCCCTTTATTAATTAGGGAATGAGTATTGATGATATTCCAAAGGAAGTAATCGCCGACTGTGCTCAACTTGTTAAAGCTAATAGTATACAAGGTACTAAATATAGTATACTAATAGTATACTAGATTTACAAATTTAATATAGCGTCACCATTAATTAATAGTTTTTAATTATCATAACAATATTTCCATTCTCGATTTCAATTTTTGATACTCGTACTTTCAATTTTTGGTACCACTAGGTTCCAAGACTCCCAGCGTGAGAGTGATATACACTCCATTCCCTAATCTCATGAAAACCCCAGACATGGATGTCGGACAAGTTGGATTTCACGACGGAAAAAAGGTCAGACTTTTTGATGATCAAAAAAAACGAGAGAAGCTAGAACATTGATAGAGATTGTTTTTGTCTATCCTTTTTAGCTATAAACAACAGCACCTGCCACCAATTCAAAGTTCAAACATCACATGTATATGTGACAATAGCTTACATAACTTCCATACAACTTAGATATATTATTCTTGGAATGACGGGGGGAATGTTATGCTAGAGGAACAACACCTCATATTTAATGTACATATAATACCTCGTTAGTTTAAATGACATATTTTGTATGTATTAACGAAATAGTTTTAATGCTTGATTATAGTGTAATTTATTTATGTACATGCATTTTTGTGCATATTAATAAAATGGTTTTATTAGAGCAGGATTGTTGTGGTGGAAAAGAAAGACCACGATATCCTTAGACGACTTAACAAGACGAAAGAAGAAAAGAATCCAAACTTGAGGGAAGAGAAGGAAGCAAGAGACAGAAAGGAGAGACAGGAAATGAGAAAAAAGAGAGAAGAAGAGGTTAGGAGGAAAGGCTGGGGAGAGAGAAGGCTAAATGTTTTTTTTGTTATTTCCAGAGAAGATTGGAGAAGGAAAAGATAGAGAGAGCCAAAAAGGAAGAGGAGCTAAGGTAGAATGGTGACATATATTCTTTTTAATATATTGACATGTAGTACATGTGTGTGATAGCATACCATGTAATTGGGTGGACAAGTTAATATTGTCAAGTGTAATTGGTTCTAGTGAACCCACATTCTTGCATGAGATCACAAACAAAAGAAGCAAATTACTTGTAGTAGAAATTGTTTTTTAATTATTTTACAATGGACAGCTATGTGAAGCAAAATATACACCTCCTCAAAGAATTTTTTTTCAGATCTTATCAATCAATAATGACGGATGAAAATATGAAAACCAATAAGGTAGTTATGTACAGGTCACCATGATAGGCTGCCTGAATTATCTCTCTCTCTCCTCTCTCTCTCTCTCTCTCCTCTCTCTCTCTCTTCTCTCTCTCTCTCTTCTCTCTCTCTCTCTCTTCTCTCTCTCCCTCTCTCTCTCCCTCTTCTCTCTCTCTCTCTCTCTCTCTTCTCTCTCTCTCTCTCTCTCTCTCTCTCCTCTCTCTCTCTCTCTCTCTCTCTCTCTCTCTCTCTCTCTCTCTCTTCTCTCTCTCTCTCTCTCTCTCTCTCTCTCTCTCTCTCTCTCCTCTCTCTCTCTCTCTCTCTCTCTCTCCCTCTTTCCTCTGATAAACAGCTTGAAGAAGGCTTTGATTACAAGGCATTTGAGGATGATTTCATGTAACATAATTATGTAAATAAATAAACAAAAAACCGACAATTTTATTGAACTAATGTTTATGTATTTCTTTGCGATCATTCCGCAAAACAGATTATAATTTAATTTATAATCTATTAAAATATGGCCGTGATGTCAGTTAAGCTTCTTTCTCCGAGTTGCTTTCTCGATTTTGGCGGTCTCTGGCGACAAGGCAAAGTATTCTTTTTCGCTGGAAATTGAAATTAAAAATGATGATTATTATTATTATCGAGTGTATAGACAAAACATGATTCACATTTGTACACACAAACACTTTTTCTCTTACTCTGATTTCGTACGAGTGTCACTAGTGGAACTGATAAGTGGAAACTGCAGCTGCTCCATTGTAGTAGAGCTGGAGGGACTTTCTTCACGATCTAATGATTATGAAAATTTAATTAATATTATTATCTTCATCAGATCAAAGTGATGGATTATTCTAACAGGAAGGATCTAATTGAATCAAATAACTTTGAAGTTTCACTTTTGAATATATAGCATTATTTAATATTTAACAAATATATAATGATGTAATTTTGATGGTTTTTAATGTATATATTAATTATTGTATTATTTCTTTGTTACCATCATTAAGAAACAATTCGCTAATGATGTGTCTGTATCTACACCAGGCGCAAAGTATCAGTAGCCATAGCGAGAGAAGAGTAACAAGACCATAGACACACCAAATGAGATATGGTTCAGACGAGTGGCCATTTTGATCATCAATGGAGAGGAGATGATACAGGGAGAAGCCATTATTAGGAGGAGAATGGTGTTCACTATCATGAAGATCTGGAGGAGGAGAGCTGGTTGTAATAGTAGGAGGGCTACTCTCAGCAGACATGAATAAGCTAAATTGAATTAGGAACACGTGTAGCTATCTAAAGTACTATAGTATGGATAGTTCTACAGCAGGAAGGAAGGAAGCAAGCGCCATTTACTCTCCTATCAAAGCACCTAGATCAATCAAAGCTCGCACATTTTTGCGGCCGTGGAATCAGCACACAAACTCAAATTGAGAGCACTGTCTTGTATCTACCAGGACAAGCTTAGCTGAAAACAATGGACTTCAAACTTTTCTTATCTACTTTCCTACTCTTTTCTGGTGTAGCATGGGCCGCTTGCCCTGGAGATCTTCCAAATGGGACTCTTGTACCTCTTTACTTCGGATTCATGACTGCTGTTGATCCGCATAGTGATTATGTACTGGCGGGGATTATTCCTGCTGTAGATCTAGCACTGGAGCTCATTAACAACAACACTAGCATACTATCAGGATACGAGCTCAGTTACAATGACACCATTTACGATGCTCAAGTAAAAACTAAAGCTCTTATTGTATGTACATGTAACAGCATGTTCCTTGCTGGTTTTTTTTGTTGTCAGATCCTGAAGATTTTATATAGTCTAAAGCTAAAACTATAATTTTGTGCATTTGAATTCTATAGCCTTTATAATAAGGGGTAATCACTCTCTCTTTTCAGGCCTACAGTATTTATAATGCTTCGCTTAGTTGTTTATTATCCTCGTTCTGCAAATTGCCAAAATGTTTTTTTCCATTTTTACCACAAGCATGTACATGTACATGTACAAGTACAGACCTAAATACCCATATCCATGTAGTACGTAATGCTGCACTAATGCATATATTGTCTTCGTTAGAAGCTACAATATATTTATTCTCTGTTTTCCTTTTGTGTGTCCATGTCTTTGTATTGGAATTTAAGATTTTCCCTTTACTCTTTGAACGTGTAGCGTTGACTTCTTTTATTTGATTATAACATTTCCTTTTTTGGGCACGTACACATGTATGGCATTATGCTATGATAATATTTATAATTTCAGAATTTTTCATTTACTACAAATTTTTTTTAACTTCATCACCCTTCTTGCTTCTTCTCTTTCTCTCTCTCTCTCTCTCTCTCTCTCTCTCTCTCTCTCTTTCAGTGTTCACATAGACAAGGTCGTGACCAGTTCTTCTCAATGATCAGTAAACGTCCTCCGGACTTTATAGCTTTATTAGGCGCTGGCTGCTCAGCTGCTACCCTCCCAGTAGCAGAACTGGCCCACTATTGGAACTTCCCCATAGTAAGACCAGGTCATGTGACTCTCATGTGATCATGTATTATTATGTATTAGGTTTCTTATTCATCAGCCGCTCCTATGCTTAGCGATGTGTCCCTCTATCCCTCCTTTTTCAGGACCTATCCGTCAGACGGGAACTTTGTGCCGGCTTTTGTTGGTCTTGTGAGAGGCTTGGGTTGGAAAAGAGTTTTTATACTCACTGAAGAGTCTCCACTTTTTGTGCAAGTATGTGAGAAAGAAAGGGAGAGGAAAGGAATGAAGTAACGACTAGAGATTGAATAGATAAGGAATGAAGAGGAAAGAAAGGAGAGAGGGAGAGAGAGAGGGAGAGGGAGGGGAGAGAGAGGTAGGAGGACTAATGAGATAAAGAAGGAATGTTTAAACGCCAGTGCAGATATAAGCTTTATATACATGTACATGTAAAAAGGATGCTGCTATCAACTTGTTATTGCCCTGGAATAGTTTAATGTATTGCTATTAGCACGATATGATTTTTATAAAATAAACATTTGGAGTAAATAACATACACTAATGATACTATCATAATACTAGATATAATAATAACTTATTTATTTGTGTAAGACGATTTGATTTTTGTAATAGACCCCCCTCTATTATAAAGCACAAAATGCAATCACATTCACATTCAGATTTGCTACTGTATGATAATTAAGAACTACACGTATATACAAGTAGCTGTTTCACTAACAATAAACTGTTTAGCTTATTTTAAAAATCTGCATTCACAACTTTGAAGACTAGTTATTGTTATTTGTGGCTGCTTTAATCCTCTTTCAATAGCTATACAGGCACATGTATTTATATGCTTTGTGTCATGCAAATGTACTCAAAACACTATGAATGAAAAATATTTGAAATATTTTAAAGAATATTTTTATGGTGTGATTTGATATTGTGGGGTTGAGGAAAGGAATGGGCTCCTTTTATGTGTATGGCTTGTTTATGCAAAACTTTTATGACCACAATTCGATTATTATTATTATAGAATGAGCGTCCATTAGTTGAGGCATTGAGTGAAGCTGGTATTTATGGCAAGTCTCATTCTTTTCTTTCTGGTCCTGATGTTGATGTTGCTGAGGTGGTCAGAGATGTCATTTACAAAGTTAGCTATGCATTGACCATTTATCATATACCATGAAATTTATGTGACTGAAATTTTTTTGCGAATTTTGCGATTTTTGCTCCGTCACAAAAATCAAAATCGCAAAATCCTACAGTTTCATTGCCACGTGGTGCAGTTTGCAAGCTATTTGTAAAAAAATTTATTTCATGAAATCTTAGAATTGTTGGATTCATGAAAATTTTTTGTTGCATAAACTTCATGGTATACGGTATGGGGTAATCATATCTGCTGTCTAAACTTCTATTCATTTCTTTTAATTTAGAATGAGCACAATAACACTCACATCTTCTTTCTAAATATGTATTCCGGTAAAGCAAGAGCAGCCTTTTGTGCAGTATGTCTTGTCTCGTAGATTTCTGTTTTTTATAAATATCTTTTCATTCTTCCTTTCTCTAAATTTCTAGTTTTATCGTTTGAATATGTTTTATCCAAACTATGCATTCATTATTCCTGGATGGTACCAGGTAAGCATCTATTTCTGTCACATGATTGTCACATGATCACATGTCACATGACAGACTGGCTGGTGGAATAATGATGCTGTTAACGTATCCTGTTCCACTCGAGATTTACAGACTCAGTTAGACAGAGTATTGATACTGCAGCAATTGCCAGTTGCACTAAACAGGTCTGCCCCTACAATTAGTGGCCTAGTAAGTCACTATACTTTATAATTTTTTGAATTAAAGATTTCTTTTAAAAGACAGCAGATGAATTTGACACTAGGTATAGAAGTCGCTTAAACGATAGAGAGTACATAAATCGACTACCAGGACCTCCATCAGTTTATTACCCGATCCCTGACGCCCTGACGGCCTTTGATGCACTGTGGTCCCTGGCACTGGGTCTTGATAGAGTTCAGAGGGCAGTGTGTGCTAATGAGACCTTAGGCTGTAATGGTGGACCACTAACAGAGCTGGAAGATTTTATGTATTATAATGATCAGGTGGAGTGTATGGTTAATAAATCTTTGAGTATGACTGGATTTGAAGGAGTCTCTGTAAGTGCCCATGACATGTACATACACATATATAGTGTTAGTAAACATTCTCAAAGCCATAAATACATGCAGGCCTTTATATACATGTACATGTACATGTATATAAAGGCAGAAAGTATTCATGCATAACTACTATGTACATGTATATCTAATTATGCATGTGTGTCTTAAATGTGTTTATCCAATAAGAATACTAGAGTACATTATCAATGATCGTACACCATCAATTTTCGGACACTTGTTTTAGGAAAACTATACATTGCCATCTCATGAAACTGCAAAGTATTATAGCAATAGTTATCCTTTATTTGCGTGACAAAACTTGTAGCTCTAGCAAGAGTGCATAGAAAGTTATAAGCTCTCAAAGCGTGGTGTCCGACAATACCAATGATCGGCCAAAATTCTCAATCTTCGGACTGTCATTTCTGAACGGCAGCAAAGGATAGTTT